AAGCCAACTGAGTCTAATAATGAACAGAATGCATTGTTGAGGCTGTCATTGTCGGCATCTACATGAATATTAAAGTCGCCTACTATGATTATTTTATCTGTACTAAGCACTAAATCAGACAGAAAGTCTGAGAATTCACTTAAAAACTCTGAATAAGGAGCAGGTGGACGGTATACAATAACAAACAGAACAGGCTTTTGAGTTTTCCAGTTTGGGTGTGAGAGACTCAGGGTGAGACTTTCAAATGAATTATAAGTATGTTTAGGTCTACGCTTGATTAATAGGCTTTTGTTGAAGATCGCCACCACACCTCCACCCCGGCCTGTGCTTCGAGGGATGTGACAGTGACTAGGTGGGGTGGATTCATTTAGACTGACATATTCTTGCTGCTGACCAGGTTTCAGCAAGACACAATAAACCTGTTCACTTATCAAATCATCAGTCTGTTGTTCACATACTTGCTACAGTTTGAACCAGCTCTGTGAAAACTGAGCAAACTCCATCAGATGTTGAACACTTTGAAATGCAGTTGGAACCTCCATGAAAAGCTAGTAAATGAACAATGAGTCGGGTTTGTTGTTTCAAACAATCTTTTTCAAGGTCAAGGTTTCAGACAGTATTGACAGAGTTTTGCCAGCCTTCGTTAACATATACAGTATCTCCTCTTTGGCCTTCCTCTTGACCTCTTGCCTGGCAGCTCCATCTCCAACATCCTTCTACCAATATAACCACTATCCCTCCTCTGCACATGTCCAAACCATCTCAATCTGGCCTCTCTGACCTTGTCCCCAAAACAGCTGACCTGAGCTGTCCCTCTGATGTGCTCATTCCTAATCCGGTCCATCCTGGTCACTCCTAAACAGAACCTCAACATCCTCATCTCTGCTACCTCCATCTCTGCCTCTTGTCTTTAGACCAGGTTTTCCCCAAAATGTTTTCCAGTTGTCTATGAAGCCCACGTTATTTTCTGGGCACCACCTAGACAGCCAGCGGTTGAATGACGACATGCGGCTAAACATGTCATCACTGGTCACATTGGGTAGGGGTCCAGAGAATCATTTGTTTTTTCTATAAACTGCAACATCTCTGATGTTTGCATGACACATTTTGTCACATCGAATGGTTCTTTTGTTTATCTCCTCATTCTCTGTCATTTTCTTGTGATGACAAAGGGTCTTTGAGGCAGCTATTACCTTTTTTCTTCCTCCATTTACCATTTGTTCAACTGTGCAAACCC